CCCTTGACCTTTGCTTATTCTGGACCAACCATTTTCGACAGGGGAGGGAACTTTTTTCATGCAATTGGTGGGGGCCGGTGGCTGAGTTAACTGCTCGGCTCCTTCGTGAGCCGTAGGTGTGGCTAGTTGTTGGCGCTTATGTCTAGCTAACCTACTCCGTACATAGGTAGACGATGGGCCCATCCTACATTTCCCTGGTCCTCCATAGCCAGAGGATGCGTTATTGGAAAAATATACCCAGACCGACGTCATTGACGCTTTGGTAGGAAAATATGTGGCTGTGTTCCACGTTCAGGCCTTGTCTCTCATGGTATCTTGCGCATTGACAAATTCCTCGTCCCCTGTCGTCTCGCGGGAGGCTTGCAGACTACCACCATGGCGGGATGCTGGGCTCCAGTAAACCAAGAAGGAATCCCAAAAATTATTCACCTGAAATGGCAGGGAATGGTGCCTTGGTGACTGCGGCGTCTGCCTAACAACATAACCCTGCTGTGTGATTTCATGCAACAAATATACGATTGCTGCGGGTGCCTATAACTATCGTTGCATTCCCCTCTATGATCTGGTCTTTTTCGTAATCTTCGATATTATCAATGCAGTTATCTAATCTTTATCAGCCGAGAGACTGTTGAAAAATACTGGTGGCACCCCAACCAGCTAAATACCCTACGTTTATTCTACCCTTTACGAATATATTGACCAAGGTTATATGGAACTTGAGGAGGGACTATTGGGTAGTACGTACAGTGGTTTCACCGGTGTCCCGCTTTTCGTCACCTGTCTTGTCAAATAGCTCTCGCAGCACGCTGCTCACTTCGATGTGCCAAATTTGGATCACAACGAAGATGGAGACGCAATGCTACACCGTTGAGAGACGTGAAGAGAGACCTTGTGGAATAATACACCCCCGGCCTTGGCCAGAGGTACACTTCAGAAGCTGCCGCCTGGGGTCTCATCAACGACCTCGCTTTGCACGACTAGGCAACCGCCCGCACTATGAATATGAACCTGCCTATTCCCGTCAGTGGTCCAACGTTTACTCAAGAAGACGCTCCGGTGTTCGTACTGTTTGTAAGCAGGCCAATTCTTTCTAGTCATGTGAGACTGCAGAACAACTGCTCACTTAATTTGCAGGGGTTGAGGTTCCTATCAGCATTAGGCAGGTCATATGCCTAGTATGACGGATGGTAGTGGGAATGATTGCATGGTGATAGTGTTATGTCAATGGGATACTGCTGTTGATGGTCATGAATATACCACTTACCCGACGGCCTATGATGCTACTCAAGGCAAAATCACTGATATATCATTAATTTGGACTGTCTTGGAAATTTTGCATTATTTAATTATACTTGGCGTACGGCGCACTTCGATGGGGGTAGAGAGGTTCTGGCGCCGAAGTATGGATATATTACTATACGAAACTGTATAGGCATCTTACGTTAGAATAATAGATTACTTTGATATCTTCACATTCATAAGGTCTGTTGCATCTTGCTCCCATGTGCAATTATATAGTTTAAAGGGAACTCAGACAGAGTGCATCAATGACAAACTTACGCTGGAAATAAGGGCAGCCATAGTCAGAAGCGTTTATTTCCTCTTGAGCAATCTTGCAAGATAGCCTAGCTACTTTTATCTTCCTCGTCGCTGTCTATACCATACTCTCCATTCTCATCGGGGTCATCATTTTGACTTTCATCATTGTCACTTTCATAGACTTCAATCTTCGGCCTGAAGATAGAGTCAGTCCAATCTCCGAATCTTTCAACATCCCAGAGTTCTCCGGTCGCAACTGGTTTTCTAGAGGTTTTTCTACCAGGCTTGTCTTTGCCAGCCTCTGCTGCAGCATATGCCTCCAAATAATCTTCATAGAGCTGAGTGACTGTATCTTGAACAGCACTAACGAGCGTTTCTTTTGTTCGTTTGTCATCAATATAATCGTCTAGTAACCGCCGTAGAATAGGTACTTCCTCCTCAATGGAACGGCGCATATTTAATGCACCTTTTTGAATTTGTTGAGATAATGTCGGGGTTATTGTTTTGCCTGATATTGGGGGCAAGCTGGATGCCATTTTGGTTGCGAAAGTATTGGTGAAGTCATTGATTACTGTTCGAAGTGTACCATCGAGCTCAACCTTGGCGTCCAACATGTTCTCAACTACCTGAGGTAGAAGGCCGCCTCCAACAAGTTGAATCCACGTCCGGGTATTGAAGAGTCCTCCGCGTTCTTGTAGTTCCCAGAAAGTACTGGTTACCCCAGAGAAGTCAAAGGATACGTCAGGGGACACAAACTCTATATCAAATGCAACAATTTGCTGTTTTAGTACCAGCAAGTGCCTGATCAAGAATAGGAGGCCGTCCGGTTTTGACTTTTTCGACGATATCTCCGTGCCAGCCTGTTGAATTGAGAGAGTTGTCTGATGGACAATTTGATGGGCTAAGTCGTCAAACACTTTCGACTATATCGACAATCCTGTTAGTAAAACGAGGGGCAATGTATACTTATAAATACAGGGAATACTTGCGTTAACCAGTCGATATATACGACTTAACAACCAGATTGCCTTCTTCAGAGTCGGATACCATCCTTCAAACATTGTCTGAGAAGTAAAGTCCCATTGGGATTCTTTCTCTGCTGGTGAGTCCGTATCTTCATCCATAACCATTGGCATCTTCGACTCAATTAATGAAGACTTTCTTCCTGAAACTACTGGCGTGGTATTATTTTCCGCACTTAACGATATTTGCTTATTCTTAGCAGGGTAATCAAGATCCTCTGGCCGTGGTTTGAATCTCTCGATTTCATCTCGCAAGATTGCCTGTGCAAGAAATACAAGCCGAGTTTGCGCATCCTGAAGTGCAGGTTGGATCAAGATCGCAAAATCTAGCTGATTTGGATCCACCACGCACTCTCCATCTTCGTCTGGTTCGTTTAAATACCGAGTTTGGAGTAGTATGCAGAGCTGACAGAGTCTAACAAGTTTATTATCATGGATGATTCGAGGTCGCAGATGGTCATAAAGCGGCTCACAAATGGCTTCAAGAAAATCATAAAGACCATACTGGCCATGAAACCATTCTCCCCACAAATCGAATTCATCGAGACATATACCGCGTACGTAGCTGATGCTCGTTCTTGCAAACGCAACTAAATCTTTTGACGTGCTTGGTGCATTTGCGATATCATTCAGTCTTTTTCTCACAAGAGGTACCACCAGCCTTGCGCGGGAAGTTGCAAAGTTTACATGGAGCTCGTTGAGGAGACTTTGGTATTCTGCTTCGGCGCCTTGTTCGGGGTCTAGGGGAGGAACTGCTCTCTTCTGAATTTCGAGCCCCATGTCTTTCATTTCAGAGACACCAACACGGAATTTAGCATATAATAGAGCTGACATGGTTGTATCATTAAGCTGGCGATCGGCAATCCGCTTTGTAACTCCTGATGAGATATCCCGCACAGTGGAGACAAACTGGCCGCGGATTAACGTAAGTGCACGAGTGAGGAGTAAGCGATACCGAGCTCTATATATTTCTGCCTCTTTTTGTTCTGGCTACGAGTGAGTGCATATATTAGTCGTCAAAACACGGTGGTGAGATGGTGGAAAGAGTCCCTAACTTACATGCGCATGCATGTAGTCTAGACACTCATCTAGACGCCTCAGCATATCTGAAAAATCTTTTGAACGAACTGAGTTGCCAGCTCCTGGTGCATTGAGTCTTCTTGATATTGGATCCAGGTAGTCATAGGATGTCAGGTTCTCCTGAATCTCATCTGCTAATTTCGCGCTTTTGTTCCGAGCGGAGAGGAGGCCTTCGCATTGTTTCCGAAAAGCGGACGTGCGATCCTCCACTGCTTCAAATGATTGTGATAGAGTGGAGAGGACGTCTAAAGTGTGTGATGTGTCTTGGAGTAGAGAGTCAAGGTGGCAGGTCGTTAATTCTAAGTCATCGAGACAAGATCTAGATAGTCCAACCTGTTAGTCAACGTATATAAATAACACGAGGTTATAAAAAAGCAGATTATCAAAACGCACTGGTATTTTTCGTAGCTCGCTTCTAGCAATTCGTCCTTCACGCTGCCATACCATTGCGTGAACTCAAGGTCATTCTTCATCCCACTCAAAGCATCCTCTACTGCGAGCAGAGCTGGCTGCTCCGTCCCCTCGCCGTTTGTAGACCCCTGCATCTTCTAGACAATGCGCATGGTGGAATTAGCCGATGACTGCTCCGAGTGCAGAGGGCTGATATATGTATTCCTGGGAACATCAAAGGTGTTGTTGGATTCACAGCTCGTTATCTGTCCGTCGCGGATGTTTCGCTGAGTTAATTTAAAGCTTTTGGAGGCTCGGGTCACGTGGCAGAAAGCTCCTTTTGACCTACTTCGAACGTCCAGCTTCAACCTCGACAAAACGGAAGATTTCATGGCCAGCCATCATCTGCTCAGGCTCCCCAGAAGCCTAGCAGACGCCTAGGGCTATACAGCTCATGAGTTTGCTTAGTTGCCAATGCCCTTTTTGCCCGTCATATATCCACCTACATCTACTCAAAGGACCTGTGAACTTGAATTCAGCACGAAACAGTCGTGGCTATAGGGCGGACGCTTAGGAATTATTTAGGCAGGTATACTGGAATATTATGGCTCTCGAGGAGCCGATGGGTAACTGACAGAAACTATTCGAATGGAGATAATAAGTCGCTCTAATCAATATAGAAGCAGCATATCCCTGGATCTCTTGGAGCCTCTCTCCATTTCAGAAGCCATACTCCGGACAGCTACAAGAAATGACCATGCTCTTAGATAGTGAGCAGGATGTGAACTCAACTTATGCTTAATGCTATCTGATATCCCACCTACACATATATAAGCGATGACCATCCAACCAAGCCCGCAATTAACCAATTGAGTGAAATCAGAACCATATTCAACCGAAAAATCGAAGACAACAGTCATCCAAACCAAAAATGAAAATTGTGGAGAGATATCTATTAATAGATATCCATTAACTAAATGCCCTTGCCTTTGCCTTCTTCCTTTCCTCTAGCCGCCTCCTCCATCCAACCATGAGAAGAGGTCCTAACTTCAAATGTCTCGCAATGTGAATTTGCTTCTCAACTTGCCCCTTATACCTCTTCTTCCAGCTACGCTCGCGGCCTTCTCCATCTGCCATCTGGGCTAACATGAAGTCCCAGTTCTGTGCCTCCTGAGCACGCAAGACTAATTTATCATGGTCGACAACAGATCTGCGGTTATACCTTGCAGTTGTGCTTGTGCTGGGCCCTGCTTCTGCACTGAGTGTAGCTGTTGTATTGCGTGCAGTAGCAGGTGTCTGTGTTGGTGTTGGTGTGAGGGGATGGATATTCAGTTGCTGTGTTTCTGGGCTCTGAGACCTAGTCGCTTCAATGCGGTCCCTACTAGGCCTTGGCCGAAGTAACAAATTATCTGACGAAACTGGGGAGCCCGTCATACGAGCTCTCCGCTGCTGTTCTGGTGAAGGGGTGAATTCAATTGAAGTAGACGCAGGCGATACGAGCGAACTATACTGATATACCAACCCTGGTTGGCTAGGCGGTTCTGGCTGTTGTGCAGGGCTTCGAGGTGGCGTTGGATAGCGGACTCGATTCAGTTCTTCTTGCTGCGATGCCATGTAAAGCCGCTGAGATCGGAAGCGAGCTGCAGCTTCTTCGCCAACCAGGTCAGGATCCTCATGGGGAGATAATGGAAGATGTATGCCAGAATGCATGGGCGAGGCTATCTCATTTGCAGTCGATACGGTGGGTGGTTCTTCTGTCGGAGAACGAACGAGCGTGACGGTGGAGGAGTTATGTGCCTGTCCAAGGGAAGATGGCACCGTTGTATTTCTTGACGAAGAAGGCCGGTTCTCCGTCTCTGAGATACTGGACGTTGAGAGATCGGTTGTTGTCTGGAAAAGACCTGGGAATATAAATCTCGATATGGCATTGATTTCGCTGGACGAACTTGTCACACGCCTGTTTGCAACATTTCTATAATGGCGCGACTGCAGACCGCTTGTTACCGGCACCCACTCTGACGAGTTGTATATTGACCGAAGGCTAGAAGCAGTGTTGCGTATAGAGCGGGCGGTGAAATTGGATGAATTGCTGAAGGGGGATATTGGGCCGATGCGATTCTCGAAACCACGGGCGTACATCGGTGTCGGAGGGAGGCCATGTCGGTTTGAGTTATTATTGTGTGCAGGCTGAGTTCGAGCCGTCTGTCGCTCCTGTCTCTGCTGCGTGTCTTGACGAGGTTGATGCTGCGGCTGACTTTCAGCTGGTGAAGGGGTGCCAGTGAGAACATCGCTCGCCCGTCGGTGGGATGCTGGTAGATATGAGTGGTAGGACGGTGCAGCAGAAACATACGACGGCGCATCGGAATGTATAGATGCTGTTTCAGGGTCGTTCATAGGTGTTCTGCGCGGGGTGTATGGCGGCAGCTGCTCGACCCCATGGAGAAGGGAGCGATGAGGCGGTAGTGGCAGAGTAGCCATGCTCCCTCCTCCGCCTTCTCAAGTTTGGAATATTAGACGTGGGCAGACACCTTGGGCTTCCTGGACGGGATATATATGCTAGTATGGAATATCTATCAACAATCTGTGTGGAGGCCGAAAAACGAATGTGATGCCTCAAAAAGCCTAAGCCGCAACGCTGAGAAGATAGATAATATCAGCACGAATGAACGAAGCGGAAATGCACACATATACAGAGATACATATATGGGGTATACAGACGAGGATCACCGTCGGCCGCTGGCCTTGTTGCGGTCGCGTGCGGTTAGAGCGACAGCCTGTTTTTCGCTTTTCCTTCCCAGCGGCCCACGTTATGAGGTCATCGATAAGGGCGATAAGCGCCTAGACAACGGGCGATAAACGATCCTAATAACACGTCTGAATATGAGCGATGGGCTGTATTCAGCTGCGAGTCGTCCTAAAATGGGCAGTTCGGCGCACAAAAAAGGAACATGCAAAAGAGATGGGCACGGCGAGAGATACGGGAATAACGGTTGAACCCGTCCGCTGGGGGCACCTGATGCCGCTATCCGCCCTGCATGAGGCTACAGAAAGCCAAGGGGAGCTCGCTATCCTCGCTTCTCCGGCACCGCAGTGATGTAACCACAACCTCGACAAAGACCATCGTTTCTCCCACTGCAAGAGGGATATATTAGCCTTCTCTGTCTGGACCCAGAGGGTAGTGCTCAGCTTTGCAGAGGATGCGAAAAAGCAACAAACCGCATGCCTGCCTGTTTGCTCTCTGGATCCACGACGCCTCGTTGTCACTTTCTTTCTTTCTTTTTTGCACCGCCCTCCGGGTCCTTCTGCAAACCTTAGCCTGTGGCTGGAACGATCAAGAGGGCCTCGGGTTGCATCCACGACTGCTGCAAGCGGAGAAGAGTCCATTTGCAGGGAAACAACTGTGAGCCATCCTGCAGGGCGGGGTATTGGCTGCTGTATGCGTCGCTCTCCGCGCTGCCAAACGGAAGCAGCACTAGGCCTGCTACCCTCTATTTTGTACGGGCTAAAGGGAGGTGCGCAGTTGATGCTGGTCCGGCTATTTCCAAGCCATATTCTTCGTCTGGCCGGATATACCAGGGCTCTATGTAGTACATATATACTTAGATATTATCAATCGACTGGGGCTTTTGCGAGGAACGGAGTAATACGCAGCCTATAAAAAGGAGTACCTTATGCAAGTGACATCCCTGGCCGCATCCTCACTGGTTTTCCAAGCATGGATGGACATGGCCGCTCCTTGTCCCTATCCGCCCGTCTCTCGATGCACTCCCGACTCCTTCCTCCCGTTTCTCTCGCCTTCTCTTGTCCCTCTCTTGTCCCTTGCGGTCTCCAGCTTCTTTTTTTTTTTTTTTTTTTTTTTTCCGTCTCTTTCGCCGAATCTTTTAATCCGCCGAGATTACGTAATTACGGTTGTTCGGATGTCGGATAAAAGTAGTTGCACGAGCCGATCACGTGGAGATATCCCCGTCCGCCCGAAAAAAAAAAAAAAGAATAAAAAAATAAACATGTCGAGAAGATGAGAAGACGAGGACTAAGAGCTACAAATTGTATTTCATTGCTTCAGCTCGCTCATGGCGGCATGTCGAGATTGTTCTCGTAACTAGCTAGCTGGAATCACTAATGTGTTCATGTCCGTAATGCTGTGAACGCTGGCCTGGCTCCTTGTACGCCGACGCCCAGCCCGAGTCCGAAATAGAAGATGAAAAGGAAAAGGGGAAAAAGGGGGCATAATAGATACATCGTTAATCATACTGGTTAGAGTGCTTGCTGTTGGTTCTCTTTCTTTTTCTTTTTTTTGTTCTTTTTATTCTGTTGCTTTCGCTGATCCTTTGGAGGAGGGAATGTCCTTCCAGTTGTCACTGTTTGCTAATAATGCAAAGAGGCGTTTGTTGATTTGGGTTCCGACTGTCGAGTTGCAGGTGCTTGTGCAGCTTCACGGGACAGATAGGCATTGTTTCTCCATGGTTCTTGCGCTGATTTACAAGACGGAAGGCATCATATCTCTGTAGGACAGCGTTAATTATACCCCTCTCAAGTCATATCTTGCCCAATGCCCTGACGTACCTAGACTCATTCTGGACCTTCCTAACCTTCTCAACAACACGGTCGTACAGAGGGTGGTCAGGTTCCAGCCCAGTCAGTTTCTGGGTGGCGGTTTCGCAGTTCTCTTCACGAAGGATCTTGGCTAGCTCAGTGCTCTCATCGTCACCAGATACATTCTGGAAGCGCAGAGCCTGTTCGACCGCACCCATCAGAGCATCGACCTTTTGGCCTCTCTCAGCGAGCTGGGAAGCAGGGCCAATAAAGCGTTCCTTTCGGCCCAGCTTGCGGACAGGCGCACGGCCAACACGCTCCACGACATCCTCCAGGTATGGGTTAGAGATACGTTCGATAATAGCATTGACGTAAGCACGCTGCTCCTCTTCTGGGATGCCATGCTTGTCAATAATGAGCCGAGAAGTTTCGCTTAGGGCGTCGTCAACCATCTTCTTAATACGGGGGTCAGAAAGAGCCTCGTAGATGGTCTTTTTCCCAGAGTTATACCCATAGTAGGCGGCAGTGGCGTGGCCAGTGTTAACAGTGTAGAGCTTGCGTTCAATGTATGGCTCAAGGTTGTCAACCCAGTGGATGGCCTTAATGTCTGGGTGGCCCCAGTCACCAAATGGAGTCTGGTCAACCGCCCACTCATAAAACTTCTCAATCTTGACGTTTAGGCCAGCATCGGGGTCCTGGGTGGGCACGATTCGGTCAATGGCAGAGTTGGCAAATCGGGCACGGTCAGAAAGGGTGGCAAGACGATCCTTATCTGTATGCTCTTTGATAAAAGAGGCCAGGGAATCCGTTGCTCCAATGGCATTCTCGCAAGCGATGACGGCAAGAGGGCGTTCGATAGTGCGGGCATCGATACCCTTTGCAATAGGAGAGGCAATAAACTTGAGGATATTGGGTCCAACAGCACAGGTGACAACTTCAGCAGTGGATATTTCACGGATGACATCCTCCATGTTATATTTTGAGTTGATGGCGCGGTAGTTGGTGATCTTCTTGACATTCTCGCCGGCAGAGCTGATCTCGGTGACGGTGTAGGACTCTGACTTCTGCAGGTTCTCGATGACCTGGTCCATCACGTCAATGAAGACGACTTCATAGTCCGACTCGTGAAGGAATTCGGCAACGAAGCCACGGCCGATGTTGCCGCCGCCGAAATGGATCGCCTTCTTGGATTGCATCTTGCTGGACGCGGACGCAGAAAGGGTAGCTGATGAAGCGGTCTTTTGCCTTGCTAGAGCTCTCGTTGAAGGAGACGCGTGGAAGAGAGAGATTGCCGAGGAGAGAGCAGTGCTAATGGCTTTTAATATCGACGTGACGGAGGTAGTGGGGAGGGCGAGGAGAGAAGAAAAGAAAAAGGAAAGGAAGTTGGGAGTTGAGGACGCCAGCTTGACGGTTGGTTCTGCGGACGGCCCTTTTATTTGTATTGTTTGCAGCGCAGGTTCTCTCCGCGCTCTCTGTTGCTTCTACTCTGTACGCCTTTGATTCGTGTAATTCACTTCCGGTGCAACCACGGGGCAGGCAAGTGAGCGAGCAAAGCAGTAAAGGATCTGAAACTTGGTTCAAGGCGAATGTCTATCTTCCAATTGAATGGTATTCTAAGCTAGGTTTGTATAGCATAAAACAGGGCTGGCAGGGAAGTAGTTTCGATGTACCAGAGACACCAGAGATAACTAATATACATCCATCCTGCGCCCGAGGAGGCAAGCTATATAAGTATTCTTTTTGCTTCTTCCTTTCACTTGCCTGGACCTTCATGTCCCCAAAGTACTAGAGCAACCTCCGATGAAATCATCTCCCGCAACGCCCCCCCTCCCTGTAGAAGCAATCTGACTGGCTTTCGGCTTGCATGCTCTGCTCCCCACTTGGCCTGCACCCCCTTGGCCTGCGTCATCGCCTCGAATCAGAACGCAGAGACCGGAAAAAGGAAGATAACTTCTCCGGGATGGAGATTCTTGTTCCCAAGAATGTTCTCAAAAGGTTTCCAGTGTAGCACCTGATAGTTGCCAGAGATCCGTCACTGATATCTGATAGGTGAAGATAAGGTAACCAGCAGTGTCACATTATCTTTCATGTCCATCTGTGTGTTCCTTAATTCGAAACAAACCCTCTGTGAACAGCTGCTGCTCCCTGCTTGTTCCGATCGAGTTGCTTCGTTCCTCCCACTAGCTTCCGTCCCTAGGCCACCCCAGCTATTCGCCAAGGAGGGATGAACAGCAATCCCGCGAGCAGGAATGCCAGGTAGGTAGTTGCGAGGCCTGTATCCTTTTCATGAAGCCTAGCGTCGGCGTGGACAGGAGGTTGGCTAGCAGTTGCGACGCCGGCGATGTTACTCCGGGGGGGTGAGTTCGCGACATCACCCCGTCATCCTGAAATCCTGACGGTGCGGGCTGCCCTGTACCAGGCAAGTTAGTGGGGGTTCTCTTTTCTCCCTTGCTGCCCAAGCCCCTTGCTCGGGAGTTGTCCGGGTGGCGTCCCGCTAGTAACATCGCGAACGTTCCAGCTTCCGCAGCGAAGGGGGCAGGGTCGTTTCTAGTTTCCAGGATGGTAAGAGATCCAAGGCAACAAGCTTCTCTGCTCCCTGATGTGATAGACATTCATATCGTCTATGCACCGACACCTGTGTTTCTATTTTGACTGATAACGAAGAAATGGAGTTGGCATCTTGCATTATCTCGCTTAGTCACCTGTGGTTAAGCGCAAGCTTCCGTTCGTAGGCCAATGATAACCGACCTGCTAATATTGTAACTAAGTACTCCGTAAGCATCGGGAGAAAAGTATATCTTTGCTTTGAAGGCTTCGTTTCCTTCAGTAATATTTCTCTGGCTGTGCTTTGCGTGAGGGATTTATTGACTTTCCCCCCTTCTGCTGCTTTCTAGCTTACTTGTAGGTTGGTTGGGCCGACCAGGGGGAAAGGCTGAAGGGGTTGTTGTTAGGCATAGACAGCAGCCAGCAGTTTCCCAGGCCTGTCCCTGGGCTGTTGCACTCCCCGGGCTTCTGCCCGTGGTCATTCTGCTCCCTTTCTTCGTCTCGAACGAAACGCTGCCAGCTGAGGAACGTGGTGGGCTCGCGATGATGCACCTCTACGCTTTTGGCTCGAACGGTGCAGGCCAGCTGGCGATCGGGCACATGGAAGATGTCAATACGCCAGCGAGGTGTCTTTTCGTGGGGGACGAGCGCCCTTCGCCTGCCTCGGGAGATAGAGATAGCCTCAGTCCCAGTCTCATGCAGCTCATCGCTGGCGGGAACCACACCTTGATTCGACTGGCCTGTGGCAGAGTGTACGCCGCTGGTTCCAATCTGCATGGCGAGTGTGCCACGCACGCTTCAACCCAGAATCTCCTCAGATTTCAGCGTGTCATTATCGCCGAGCCGCTTGCCGATGTTGCTCTTGCCCGTCGCGAGGTTTCCACCTTCTCCAATATCTCTGCAACATGGTCTGCTTCCTTTTTTGTAGATGTCAACAAAGACTCTATATTTGTCTCTGGGCACGGGTCAAAGGGTGAACTTGGTCTAGGGCCAGACGTCACAGAGAGGACGTTGCCAACGAAGATACCGAATTTTCCACCAGTTGGTAGTGATGTCATATCCATCGCCAGCGGTATGGCCCACACCATAGTTCTATTAGACGATGGCACAATATACGGCTGGGGAGCAGCGAGAAAGGGTCAGCTGGGAGCCGACAAGGTTAGTCAGAAGGTCGTCTGGTCGCCACAAAAGATAGTGGTGGGTGGTAATCTGCCCGGCCATATTCGAGAGATCAGCTGTGGTAGGGAGTTCACCGTACTGACAACCACCTCTTCGGCATCGTTATCTTACTCTGGCGCTTCATCAGAGTCACTTTACATACTTGGACCAGATAAATGGGCCCTATCATCTGCTGCTCCTTCCATGGTAGCTCCATACAAGTCACTAACCGCTAGTTGGCATGGCGTATATGTACATCTCCGTGATGGCACGGTACTGGCTTGGGGCCGCAATGATAGAGGCCAATTGCCGACTGCCACAATGCCCGCTCTAGATTACCTTGCCGTTGGAAGCGAGCACGTTGTTGGCGCAATCGATCATAGGACTCTGATTGCATTTGGATGGGGTGAGCACGGCAATTGTGGCCCGGAAACTGATGAGCAAGGCAACGTTGCCGGACACTGGAATGAAGTCCAACTGCCGATAGATAACAGCAGCATCGAGGCTGTTGGTGCTGGGTGCGCTACAAGTTGGGTTTTGCTATCTGAACCTGAAGTTAGATAGTATGATTCCCAAACAGCAGGTCAATCAAATAGACCACGTATCTATTTCGGTAAGCACTGTAATGGAGGAAAAATAATAAAAAAAAAAAAAATAAATAAATAAAAGAATGTCATCCGGCCTTACCTGAGATATCCGCTGGGTTGGTGGAATTCCCATCGCGTTGTCTTCCATCCGGTTAGCGTCAATATTGTCCTGCCCGGAACTTGCTTCCATCTTAGATACGCTGTCTTGGATAGTGCCTCCGATATTCTGCCGCAAGGCCTCCTATTACCAACGATTTCATCAATATCAAGTAATCTATGGGCATGAGAAAGGTCTTTACCTGGTCCAGGTTTGAGTCCCATCGAAGCATATCCTCCCTCTCTTCCTCCTCGTACTGAGGCTCATCCCACTGGCGATCATCGTCTGCTGCAACAAACAAGCTCTCATGATCTATTGGCGCGACAGGAGCAAGGGATGTGATCTGCTTCGTACCTTGCCCGTGAGAGGCTGGTGGCAGCATCGATATTTGTGGTTCGGGTTGTACCTGCGCATGTACCTGCGTCGGCTGCTGCTGTTCCCTGGCAACTCCATCTCCCCCAGCACTCACACTCACTGCAACTTGTTGCGCAGGTCGTGCTGGAACCTCCCGCACCCCATTACTCTGCGATGGAACCGACTCCGTTTCATCAATGCCTTCCCCACGCGTCATCAGCGTGATTTCACAAGTCATCTCAGGTATACCATAGGAGAATTGTAGAGGTCGACACGGCCGTGTATACCGAGCGGTGATGGGGACCTTGAGCGTATCTGCATGAAGAATAACAGCCCTAAAATCTCTTAAGTTGATAGCAACATGTAGTCCTTCTTCGACGCTAAAATGGACAAAGTCTCGTGTCTCGATTGCCACGGATGTATGAACTGGCTGTTTCAGTATTTCTATACACCATTAGCTGGAAGGAAAATATATGAATATATGAATGTTAACACCAGCATACCTGTCCCTGCTATAACCTTCTCTGTATAGCTAGTGAACACTGCCCGGCCATCTTCACAATATACGTCTAAATGCTCTGCGCCACGGCCAAAATGTTCAAGTATTTCACGCAAGAATCTGGAATCCACACTCCACTGATTTTGGGAATCTGATCTAGCGAAAATTGCATGCTGAACATCAGCTGGCTCATAGATGAGCTTGTAGGTCCTCAAAACACCTAATAAGAGTATGTTAATGCAGGAATATTCCAGGTAAAGTTTATTGGCTCACTCACCATGCTTGCAAATCATCTGTACCACAAAACGACATTCTGTTTCCTCTGGGCTGTCGAATAACTGGGCTTCACACTTTTCAATTGCAGTATCTTTGTCCTTGAAATCGCCAGCCCGTCCCTTGAACACAGATAATAGTGCCTTAAAAAGAATCCTTGTCAGCTTGGGTGTTATAATATCTATAACTAATAGGGAAGCTGTACTTTGATATATATTTGACAAGAAATCTTATCCTTTCCATTTTTGTCCTTATTCAATGGCGTATTATATGAGTATTGTGAAAAGAAGGACGGTGCATCTAATCTATATGATGCGTAACCAGATTTGGTAACGTTCAATGTTGACAGGCGTAGCTAGAGAGCATGATACGGATATAAGTTAATAATCTCTTCACCTGAATAACAAACGTAAATCTCAACTGCCTTACGAGATTTACTGCTATTGGGGAACGGTAGTAACACGGTTGAAGCTTACGCAGTCAGGCTCTGCTTCGATTGAGACAGTTTCATTGAATTTAGATAGACAAATCAAAACATCACGAAGCTGCATAAGCGCTTCAGGCAGTAATGTAAAAGATAATGAAGCCATATTTCGGTGAGGTTAGTATTTGACCAACTTGTCTGTCGTTGAAACCGCGTCGTCTGCTTAAGAATTTCCCTATCTCGACTGCTGACTAAACAAATGAGGCTCAGGTCAGGTGCGAATTAGTTATCTTGGGCATTTTAACCTTATTATTGCGACTATGGCGAGCAGATTCCATTTCTCGAACGTGGCGCATTTGAAATTCACAATATTTACAATCATGCGTATGGAGAGAGTAGGTACTAACGCGACGATCTCATTTAAAGGGGCAGAGAGAAAATCCTGGAAACGCCTATGCTTCCCACGCTCATACCAGCTGGCTTCATAACAGATATATAGCAATCATAAGAGAACTTCTAGAGGCACCTTCAGAATAAACATTCAAATGAACTGCCATATGAAGAGTCACAAATGGAGTTAAAAGCAATAAAATGAAACGGAAATTTGGGTATAAAATAGCGGAACAGACCCTTAATTTGTAGACTAAGAAGATAGGAACCTATACCAGTAAGACCTTGAATTTTGAGAAAATGGCCGATCGCGAGGCAAGATGAACATGTAATTGAAAGCCCCTTAAAGGACATGTCGGATCTTGGCGTGTAACTCGGTGTCAAGGAAATTAAAGTTTGGATCAACCGTGCAGAACGGGTGCTGTGACAACAGAGTTTCGGCAGTTGGACGGTCAAAAGTATCGCTAAGATAAGGTGTCAGTCAGTATAAGGTAGGACAATATTCATTTGCGGTTAATAACAGGAGGGTGACTCACATCGTGAAACAGTCATACATGAATGCAAGAGCAGCGGGTTCAATTGCAAGTGCAACGTCCTCAGGAATAGGAGGTGCTTGGTTTAAGCTCCCCAGCTTGAAAATCGCTCCGATAGCTTCTTCTTTGCTCCATGGTCGTCGACCCGCGAACATCTCCAGGACCACACAGCCAAGTGACCAGATGTCAACTTTGGCGCTATATCCTTGGCCTTGGGATTGAACTACTTCTGGGGCCATCCAGAAAACCGAACCCTGCATGGAATTGGTAACATCATTACCATAAATGTTATCACTCTTCTTCGAGATACCAAAATCGGAAATTTTGCATGCACCATCAAGATCAAGCAAGATATTATCAGCTTTTAGATCTCGATGAAGAATTCCCTGGTCATGCAGATAAGCAAGACCACTTAGCACTTGGCGGTTCAAGGATTTCACAACACTCTCTTCGAATTTTCCATGTTTTCGAAGACAACTTCCAATACTACCTCCGGGAATATATTCAAGATAAATCGATATCGAAAGGTCCCCTCGCTCGCATCCGAGGTATTGAACGATATTAGGGTGTTCCAAATGCTGCATGGTGTCAATTTCTTGGTCCATGGCAGCAACCAGTTCTTTAACGCGGTCTTTGTCATAATTGGCAGCTTTTTGGTTCACCTCTACCTGTTTCACAGCTAAAATTTCACCAGTATTGGCGTTGATACCCAGGTAAACTCTTCCATATGTTCCTTTTCCGATCAGTTGACCCCTGATGATACGGAAAGTAGGTTGACGCTGTGGAAGCTTGCCTTGTTGTATCATTGCAGAGGGCTGTTGTGGTATTGGGTCCAAATCACTTAATCGTGTCCCTGGCTTTGGGCTAATTTGCATTATTTTAGCACCAAACATTTTGGTACTCTTCCTTCGAAGGATCCCAGATGCAGCTGCACCCTTGTTTTGTATACTCTGGTGTCGGTTCACTTGATGGGCTCCCTTTGCTACTTCACGAATGGATTTCATCCTGTTCAGTCCTCCTGAGCGTGACAAGTTCCGGTGCGCCACAGTACTTGGTATTCTCTTTGCTTTAAGTGTTGATTCCGCTGACCCTAGCACATCTGGAAGGTCCGTCATGGTTGTATATGCCGTCGTCGTGCCAGTAGTTTGTGTTGTAGCGGCACTGATATCTGTTGCTTCCGATTCTGCTTCATCCCGAGAGGATGGTCCGGAAGGTGATAAGGGCGGAGACTGGGCATTCCCATCCAGGTAAGGTTCATCTAGGTCAACGCCCGGGAAAAAGTCGTCTAGATGATCAATCATCCCTTCCACAGGGGGTCTGCTTGCCCAAATATCATCCCTGACGAATGATTCACGTCGTCTGTCGTAATCGCGATCATCGGTAGATGGGTTGCTTGTGTCAGCATCAGCGGAATTCTGATTTTCAGTTCCATCGAACATGGAACTTCCTGGGAAATTCCCCCCAGAGACTGCTGCCGTGGTTGGCGATTTGAATGCCACAGAACGGCCCTTGACAGACCTAGGCTCCGTATTAACCTTCAAAGTCGGTTTCAGTTCCTCGATTTTAGAGCTGCTTGCAACCGGTTTCCTCTTAGCCTGGGGAGGGGCCGGTCGTGCTATAGGTTTGGCGAAAAGGCCAGAATCAGAATCTTCATCTGAATCCTCTTGTGGTAAGGGAGATTTGGCAAACGGAACGGTAGATTCCTGGAAATCGAAATCAGGACCATAAGACTTTCGTGTTTGTAGTGTTGGTTTCGATGGCAGCGTAGAATCTGATGATGCAGCAGGACGCTCATCTGGTTGGCTAGTCCATTCGCTGACAGGATTTCGAACAGCGTTATCATTATCTCTTTCGACATTTTCACTGCGAGCCGGCACATTTTTCTCAGAAAATGCAGCTGTACCTGGTGATATGGCCCCAGACTCAGAGAGGCGAGATTCTGTCCTCACTGCACTGTCAGCAGGGTGGCTGGGAACAGTAGATGATCCCATGGGTGTTCCAATTACTCCTGACATCTTTCCAACACTCGCCAAAGCAGCCCCTAGACCAAAGCCAATCCCTGGAGAATTAGATTTGGCATCTGAGGAAGCTTGCCTGTGGAAATCTGGCTGGAACTCCTTTGAATTCCTCATTCGAAGATCCTCAGGTTTCTTGCTAAGGGAGTTGACTTTAGTGAGGGTATTCGACTCTGATGGGGCTAGTGGTGGCTTGCGCAACGGAATCAGAGTCTCTTGTCTTTTATCCTCATACGGAGAAGTTCGAGGAGCGTTGAAATCGATAACACGGTCGCCCTTGATACTAACAGCAGTATTTCCAGTAGTGATTTCTGTTCGTTGTATTCTATCCTTCCGGGATTCAAGGTAAGCCTTCTGTTTACGTTCGGCATCGCGGAGATGCTGTTCGTGCGCACGTTGTATGAGGACCTCCTTTTCTTGGTCGGACGAAAAGTTTAAGTTAGCGGCCTGACCTCCGTTAGGAGTTGGAAAGACACTTGTGTTGGATAAGCCATTCTGGGATCTCTCCGCTGGAGGAACTCGTCGTGCTGTAGAAACTCGAGTTGCACTATCATCTTCAGTCATATCCAATGGGACTCTGTAACCGTTCACTGATCGTTCAAAAGTGACCCCTAAACCCGCTGATGGTGGCATGGCAATACTCTGGATGAAGAACTTCAAACTACCCAAGTGGTCAGATCTGGCACGACGATTGACAACAAGCATAGTGTCACTAAGGGGTTCTTCGTGCATGATCTGGCCGGGCTCAGTGAGGTAAATCAAAGCGCTTCCGGGATCTTTGATACCGACACTATTGCAGATGAGTGCCCGGAGTGAATCAGCAGCATCAACATCGGAAACGTCAATCAAGCGAAAGTTCCATCCATCAACTGTTCCAAATACAAATTTCTTGGCGGGTGAAGGTGGTGGTATACCCCACGACTGGCCTCGAGGTTTGTCGTAATCTGGTACAGTTGATGGTACCTGACAGGAAGTGGCAAAAGGGGGAGTGTTGCGAACGCCAACCCCCGGGCTTGTTGGAGAATCAAACATCTCATCGGAGGATTGATGATGACTCTCATGGTTGTTCTTTTTTCTAAATATGTGGAACAGACTTTTGCCCTGAGTATGGGGAGTCTCATTCACTTGTTTCTGCTGTTCTTGCGGAGAGGAGTTGTGCCCAGCACGCCAGTCTCCGAGTGCAGCACCGATGCTGGTCCGAATAGAGGAATTTGGACCGCTGGGAGCAGTCCCACCCTGAGATGATAAGCCACGGCTCATAGTTGAGTCAGAACTATTTCGTTTATTGTGATGACCGGGAGAAGCAAGAGATGCAAATTGCGCGGCAGGGCTATTAGCGTGAGATTTACTGTCAGAGTATGTCGGAGGTGGGAAACCCGTGTCACTTGAAATCGATGGACTCTGCTTTCGACGAAGGGTACCATCATGTCCATTACCATCATTTGTCGCGGTGTCAGTGTTCGGAACAGTCATATGTTGACTTGAATACTGTCTTTGTGCAGTATTTGATGTGTCAACTTCAGCAAACTGGGGACCAGGGCTGTTTTCGGAGGCAACATTATTCGATACAGCTGACATGGGTTCCCGGTTTAAATTGGGCGAGTTTTCTATCCCGCCATCTGTGGATGCACTGTGTGAAGCCGCATTTTCGTAATACCGTCCATGTCCGCCGGTGTCAGATCCAAGGGTACTAGAAATCCGCCGAATGAGCTTACACATACGTTTCCCTTCTTCCCGCTCGCGGGCATGATCCCATCCGGTCCCACTTTTGACACACTCCTTTGCTAGTTGAGGGTATACAACTTGATGCATTTTGCCAAGGTTGCCCCTCGAGCCCAGCTCGAGAAATGTAGATCCTTTTAGATCTAATGCTTTGAATGTCTCCTGCCAGTCTTGCGAAAAGCCATTGTTAGCTAGCCAGAGTAACACCCGATCCAACGGCCATTTTTCTGCATCACCATGAGGTGTGGCTCCATTTGATTGCGTTGCATTAGCATTGTTCGAGGTTTGGTTGGTATGTTGTTGAATATCAGAGGGAGGTAATGTTGCCTGGGGATTGGAGTTATATGTTGTCATGGTCGATTGTCCAGTAGGAATCGAATCTAGTTGGGCGGATTGGGGTATCGATAGCTGATATGGTCTTTGGGCCAGGTGATGTTGGGCTACCCCTTCATTTGGCTGTTGTTGTTTGTAATATTGTTGTCTGAAGGTCCCGAAATCTTGTTGCTGTTGATAAGGGTAAGGATCCCGGCCGCCGAACTGAAAATGAGACTCGTGGGTAACAAGAGGCGGAATTCCTACGCCTGGACCAAATGTCCCTCTTCCTGGAATGTAAGTGGCAGACGTAAGAGGCGGGTCATCAGCGCTCATGGTGGGCTGTATAGAAAGGGACCCTTGCTTTCGTTGTTGTTGATACGCTGCTAAATGCTGGTTTTGAGCGTGGTTTACTGGCATTATCGGGGGCGGGGGCGGATATTGTTGGTTCATCCCTTGTCTCGACCAGTTATGCTGCATCCCCTGGAGCGCATATGATGAGGTTGGTGGAGGTCCTGGCGGCGGCGGTAGAGTTATGCCATGTGAGGCTTGAGTTCGAGGCGGAGGAGGAGGAAAGGGAATATGACCCTGAGGAAGGGTTCCCATGGGAGCTCCAGGGATATACTGTTGACGTTGTCCGTCCATAATGAATCTGTCTATCAGCTTTCAGCTGTCAGGCCGGTTAGATTGTGCTTTTCTTAGCACCTCCTTCCACCTTGGTAACTATCCTTTTGCGCCCCTTATACCCGAAGAAACGCCCAGATTCTAGAATCGAGGACCTGCCAACGATATTATGTTGACATTCCGTCAGCCCAACATCCTCGGCACCTTATCAGCACCCTCAGCCAACTATATAGGGTTGTGAATGGCGATTTTCGACTGCCTATCTGGCCACGGCAGAAAGCAGGATGGATAAAAGAGGGGGTGCAGCGAAGAAGTGATTGGCTCACTCCGGCGTCTCGATAGTTTGGTTGGCAGCAGTGCGAACTGTCGGTCAGAGGTGAAAAGTAATGAGACTAAATGGTAAGATGTCGAAAGCGCAATGTAAGGTACTGGCCTTAATGTCCGATTAACAGTCGAACATAAGGAGATGCGAGGGAGCACAGCTACCCTGGAACGGAACATGTAACTAAGGACCAAGGGCGCTAATTATCACAACAGCTGAATCCCACGCAGGAAGGCCTTGAGCGGTCCGATTGGTCCTAGTTCAGCTAGCCGACTATCAAGGTGAAACGAAAGAAAGGGAACACGCAGCAAAACAACGGGCTCCCGCCGCAAAGTGGGAGGAACAGAAGGAGAACGAGGCCGCCGTCGCGCGCTAAACGACAAGCAAAGACGCCTCTTTTGCTTTGTCCTTTTTTTCTTCTCTTTTTTTCTCCCTGCGAGGTCGAAGGAGGAAAAAGTAAAGTTGGGCCCGAGCGCGCACCCAAAAAAAAGAAAAGTGGGTATTCACGTGATTAATGATTAAGTAATATTGTTTGTTATATAAGCAACAGCTTCCTGATATTTTGATTTCTTGCGGCGAGAAGGAGACGACGGAGTACCAAGAGCAAGGGAAAGGCGGAAGGGCGAGGAAGACATGACGTGCTGCGTTTACCATCGCTCCTCTCTGGACAGGATCCAGTAAACGCGCGCATACAGAAGAAGGCAAGCCGCCAGGATGTGGCTGAGATTCCTTGAGGTACATATGGACATCCAAACTAGGTTGAAATGTTTCTTTAACTGACTTGATTTATCTAGGTGTGGCTTACCGCCAGGGTAATAATTATATAAACAGCTCCCCCTACTAAAATACTGTTTCTGCTGATACCTTGCAGCTTCTGGCAAGTCCAACTTTCCATCGAGCCGTCCAACGCATTCACAAGTCGGTTCAAGAGTTCAGATATGGCAAGGCGCCGGAAGATATGGGAGGGACAAACATAGATGGTATTTGGCTTTTATCTTCATTATACATTTGCCATGCTGACATGGGGTTACTTTCTAAAGGGCCAGGACTCGGGAAGTACTTCCAGTATTTTCGAGAGGAACTTCGAAACCAGCTTGGGAGAAAACCACCTAGGTCATAAGTGCATATATACCCACACAGATATGCAATCTCAAATTTTTTTGGTCCGGTGTTTCGAATTCCGTCTATCTTTCTCGCTCCCGTTTCTTGAAGGCGTCATTACGGGATATAAGTTAAGGTTCCACCATGAAGCTCTCATTTGACGTATGAACCATTCGCTGTTGCCGTTAGTCCAACCCCCTTAGTGCAACTTGGTAGATATATATGATGTGAGAAATATATGCCGACTTATGCCCTATTTCTACGAGTTACTTCTAGAATTATTTGTAAATAGTGGTTTAATACCAAATAGGGACCTCAAAAACAATCTGGTGTGCGTTACCCGCAACCTCTTGGTTTCTCCCTGTATCGGAAGTATTTGATGCAAAACGTGGCTAATAATTAGGTAGTCATCTTTACTTTACTCATGTATCTAGCGCAGCCTGTATGGCCTGTTCTTCGTTTTTATCTACGGAATATCAACAACAATTCTATATACTCAATTTCATCGTCAGCCCAACAAAATGGCAGAAAACCCACAAGTAGAACATATATATCGATTTGTGTACAGAAAAGGGGAACATTAAATGGTAGACAGGAAAGTGCGACACGATTTTATTAATGGAAAGGAGAGCACTGTTAATTGCCTGGTTCTTGAGATCATGGCTGGCTGCGAGGAGTAAGCAACTTGATGGTTAGTTAATATCCCATAGACCCAGCTTGCCTCCTCCCCCAACGCATTTTCGCATCAACTCTTCACTAGCCAGCAAAAAACAAATGAATTGAGGCCATTTTCAGTATAGCTAGTTGATTATATTGCTAGACGGGTTAACATTTCTTCCCGGAGGTATACTTCCAGGTAAAGGAACAGTCTTCAGTCTTAAAAGAACGACCACTTCGCCGTTGCGGTACTTGCCAACAGCGGGAGATAACAGGATCCTGCCAACCAATGGTCCACACCCCTATGAGACAAAAGGCATATAGACACCAAGGTTCTCAAGTCAACTTTGAGCGAACCAAGATGTCCAAATAGTCTAGATCTAGAAGCTCCAGGCCGCATTCAAAAGTCATCTTACATGGAATCATCATGAATGACAGATATATGCTATCTCATTGGACTCTAGCATCCCACTACTATTTGGCAGCTTTTGTTCGCCTATTCTAACACAATAGATTCCGACGCCTGCCAGGAGGTTACTGACTTTGAAATATAATACCACGATGGTGGCGTTGATGTTATAAACCTAGTCGTTGTCCTCGGGCTTGAATTCGTTCAGTCTGTTCAGCAGAGAGACGCATACTGTGGCTTACTGATGTCTTACGTGAAACTTCACATAAAATCAAGGAGATTCACAAGGATTGTTTAGGACAAAATTCATGAATTGCGCTTCAGGCAAGACGCGTTACACGGAATGTTGTGCATTGATGACGGCAAGTATGTAAGCTCGTAGTAGGTCAGGTAGGTTAGAGTTGTCCAGCGGTCTATCAGATTAGCCCATCCGGTAACAACTTCTAGATGTTCAATAAGCAGGAATAATACCAAAGTAGGAAATATAAGGTAGAAAGCTCTGGTCCTGGCAAAATACAATGACAGGGGTGTAATAACGCCGGAGATAAGCTGAAAAAATAGCCAACTGGCCTTGATGACAGCTAGAGGATGAGCCTTTTCGTTTCCCGGAATGAAGAGAGGAGGTCACAAGAAATGATAGATCAGATGAGAGAGGTGATGAGAGTTAGGCACCTGAGCAGCTGGAAATGAACGTGAACCTCTTTTTTGAATGATTCAGCAGTGCATGAAGACAGCAAATGGCAGAACCAAAGAAGGGCATTATTTAGCCGACCTCTCTGCAAATTGTAAGACCCATGGAATGCGGTTGCTGTGAGACATACAGGGCTAAGAACAAGTCAAAGCCCTTCTCAACGATGAAAGAGCCAAGGCAGGCCCTAAACCTGAGAGTAAAAGTATAATGTGAATGGCGGAGCCTCCACATCTATGGTTCAATTTCTGGGCAGTGATTCCGCTCTAAAGCCCAGAACCAAAGAGGCCATAGGAAAAGGTACTGGATCGAATCGAACACGAGAAGGAGGGGAAATGCGGGTAAAGGAAAAGAAACGAGAAAGAACAAGGGAAGAGAGAAAGTATGGATATTAGCAGCGTTGAACCAAAGACCAGCCGCAGGAGTAAGAGTGATAACTATGGTATATGGATGCATCGCGTTGCCTAAAGTTTTCGTTCAATTGAATTGAACAACTGCAACGAGAAGTATATCCCAGAGGCAAAGCGAAGTGACTTCTCTAGCGATTGGCAGAGGTACCGAAAGCTTCAACGTCATGTATCTTATGCGTTTCAGAAGCCTTGGATACAATGATGACCAGCAAATCTTCAACCCCAGGAGGCGGTCTGGTAACACAAGGGGCGAATGGTGTAAAACGGTCAAAGGTATCTCGTGATATAGATAGGCTCATCATTGATGAAGCGTTTCTATCTCTCCGCCCGGCGTACCTTTGGCTCAGCTCCTGAGGCATGGCTACCCAATATCTATCCGATGGCGACTCGATATTAGCGAGGAGGAGCGGGCATGGACCCGCCAAGAAGGGCGGAAGACATCAAAATCCAACGACACCTATCAATGGAAAAAGAACGACGTCGGTGGCCAAAGAGAAGGGGAAAAAAACAATAAGCAGACAGAGCCTGCATCCCGCATGAATCCAGTGGCATTTGATGGATTCGGCCTGTATGGATGCTTCTGGAGCTGTCTTCTGGTATACATTTGAGCACTCGCAGACGTCGGGGTCTGCCCTTTCCTAGCTTCAGCCAGCGAGATCAACGCCAGGTTCGCCGATAACAAGTATCTAGGGCTAGGATACAGCTTCATTCTCTTTCATTAGCATATAGAAGGTACTTGGCTAGAAGGATTTTTAAACTCTGCTTCAGGTAACACAGGCAATTGAGGGGTGTACCGAGTACGTCTTAGTGACTGCCGGCTACCATCCTGCCACTGCAGCAAGGTCCGATACTTGGTTGCACCCTTGCACACTCTTCTCTGGTACGGAGTAGCGGTTCCATCATTGTGATGTCCCTGTACCCCAGATCCCGGCTAACTCGACTAGTTGAAGTTGGTGTCCCAGCGGAACCAGGAAACGAAAGAGGAGCAGCAGCCAACCACCGTCAACACGGCCACTGGATAGGAATTCCTGGGTTAGTGCTATTCATAGATCCTCTGCAATTGGGATATCGACTGACTTGGGATTAGCCAACTAGTTAACAAATCAAGCTGTCTGAGGGTAGTCAAGCAAGCCATCTTCTGGCCTTCGGGTCGAACAACACACCACCAGCAGAGAGTCCCTTAAGCGAGAGGAACCAGCCGCTTCGCGAGTCCAGCCAGACTGAGGAAGAGCATTGAGCGTTGCTGTAAGCTTGAACGCAGCCAGAGCAGGCTAGAATGCCGCCAATCAGTCTGGACCTGCAGCCTCCAAACGCAAAATCCCCGGAGCAGCCCAGGATGTCGGAAATATAGTCTAAATCAATCTCTCAATTAAACCAGCTCTAACTCCAAGCTTGAGCTGGTCAGTTAACTAGGTCAAACCACCTGGCTTTCGCCACAAAAGCTTTTGCCCAAGACTCTTGGAGGCTTACCTAGCTCCAATTCTAATCGGCCTGCGGGAAAAAGCTCTCTACAGTCAATTTTCGCAACCACGTCTTTCTTCAATATCTTCTTTTTTTCCCTGGGCAAGGCTGACGGTAGCATCACTGCTCTAGAACAGGCAGGATTGGATTGCTCTCCTCGCTAACACCTGGAATGCAAGATTGAATTCTAATTCTCGCTAATATTTGACATTTTTGATCGATTCCAGAGCAGCCGGCATTGACAGATGTTGTTGCTATTCAACTTCTTGAGATGAGGAGCAAGAAAGTTTAATATCCCGAAATGGGCTCTATGAGCTGTCCTGGAGAAGATAAAAGGGATGCATTTCTCTAAAATTCTCCCTTTTTTATAATGCAAATCTGAATCTAAGGAACTCGGATACTTACCTTAAGAAGCGATTCAAGATGGCGAAGATTCTTTACTTCTTTTTGCTCTCTCTCCTGAGTAGGTTACCCCATACTTCGGCCCCTGCCATAACTACTACCCTGCAAGGGCTAATTGAACCTTATAGCCGCGTTGTCTTTGGCCATCCCCGGCCATGATAATAGCGAGTGTGCCAACTGGTGCAAGGACAACTTTGCTAAATGTGGATACAAGAATGTCGGAGCTTGTGTCTCAGAGGCTGCTCACAATGGATTTGAGTGTTGCTGTGGACCAGTATGTTTTCCCTCCATAAGCTTCCCTTCCCTATCATTTTTTCTGCTATAGTTACCGAGACGTCCGGGGCTAATTCACTTGACCAACAGTGCAAGTCTCCACTGTTCTGCAAAAACCACCAATGCATCTGCCCACCTAACACATGCGGAAACGATTGCAAGGAGGTGTGTGATATTGCACCTTGCATTTATATACCTCCCAGCACACACGTATAACTAACAAAATTTCATCATTGTAGTGCAAAGCTCCTAAGCAGTGCATTTCTGGCCAATGCACTTGCCCATCTGGTACTTGTGGAAACGACTGCAAAGAGTGCAAGGCACCCAAGCAGTGCAAGGATGGTCAATGTGTTTGTCCCAAGGACACCTGTGGTAATGACTGTAAAGAATGCAAAGCCCCTAAGCAATGCATCAATGGACAGTGTACTTGCGCATTAGGAACATGTGGCAATGACTGCAAGCAATGCAAAGCTCCTATGCAATGCAAGGATGGCCAGTGTGTCTGCCCCAAAGACACCTGTGGAAGCGACTGTAAGGAGGTACGTACCATTTTCTTCTATAAAAACTCAAGTTAGCTGTTAATAATTCGGAATACAGTGCAAATCTTCCAAGCAATGCAAGGACGGCCAGTGTGTCTGCCCAAAGGATACCTGTGGGCCGGACTGTAAGAGTTGCCCCCCTGGAAAGGAATGCAACAACGGACAGTGTGTCTGTCCTAAAGATACATGTGGACCAGATTGCAAGAAATGTCCCCCCGGAAAAGAATGCAGAAATGGACAGTGTGTTTGCCCTAGGGACACCTGCGGATTCGACTGCAAAAAATGCCAGCACCCTAAGCTATGTATTTACGGCCAGTGTGTGTGCCCTAAGGATACTTGCGGAGCTGAGTGCAAGAGATGCCAACGTCCCAAGGAATGCACGAATGGCCAATGTGTCTGTCCTAAGGATACCTGTGGGTTTGATTGCAAGAAATGCCAACACCCCAAGCAGTGTGTATATGGTCAATGTGTCTGCCCTAAGGATACTTGCGGACCAGACTGCAAGAGGTGCCCCCCAGGCAAAGAATGCAAGAACGGCCAATGCGTCTGTCCAAAAGATACATGTGGAAATGACTGCAAGAAGTGCCCACACCCTAAGCAGTGTATCTATGGCCAATGCGTTTGTCCAAAGGATACTTGCGGCTTTGATTGCAAGAAGTGTGAATACCCTAAGAAGTGTATCAATGGCCAATGTGTTTGTCCAAAAGATACTTGCGGTTCCGATTGCAAGAGGTGCGAGCACCCTCGAGAGTGTAAAAATGGCCAATGCATTTGTCCAAGTGATACTTGTGGGCATGACTGCAAGAAGTGCGAGCATCCCAAGAAGTGTGTGTATGGTCAATGTGTCTGCCTTCCAGGAACATGTGGCAAGGACTGCAGAAAGGTATGTTGTGAACGAACCCTAAACTCGTCATCAAACCTCATGGCTAACTTTTTCTTTTAACTCCAGTGCCTGCCCTTCCAGCACTGTAGGGATGGTAAATGCACATGGTACTAAGTATCGACTGGGTACGGAGTTATGTTCCCTTTTCCAATGTTACATTGGTTGACGGGAAGCGAATAACGACAATCAACAATTCCGAAAACCCTTGTTTTCTCTCGTCGAAGATATTAGCTTCAACGTCCTTTCATTCTATTATTGATAACGAACGCCAATAATTATTTGAAAACAACATATCTTTGGCGGGAAAAGCTTATCCTTGGAGATAATTATGATAATATCGAGGTAATGAGTGAGAACGTTTCATGTTATTTTATTTTGAAAACACCCAAGAAAAGAAAAAAAAAAGTATTTTTCGTTCCCAGTTCTAATGAATGGGGGGCTGGACTGTGGTATTCAATACTCTTGATTAACTAATAGGGTGTACGTACTTATTAGCTACCACGGGTAATATGGAAGCGTTTCCCTTACACATTGGGCTTATTCCCCGAGGATGGTTACGAGTACTAAACACCAGCCTAGCTATAACTCAGTAACTATCCGTGACTAGTTAGTTGAATAAAAGGAGGCGATGAATACATAGTTAACTAGAGAAATGGCTAAAATAAAGTAACCTCCATACAGAATACAGAGCGTTGTACCTTGATCCGCATATTTCCTTCACTCTCTGTGGCTAGTTGAATGAGGCTGACCTTCCCGTCTTGGCACTACAAGTGTGCAAACAGTACAAACATGGAGTTTGTTCCTGATTAGGTAATTGGAGCATTTTGGATCGCGACTTTGATAAGACCTCTGAGAGGAATAGGATAACATCCAAGGCATACATATTTGGCCAGATGCCAGACTCTTATGCCTCTGCGCGATGGCTCCTCATCCGAGATCCGCGAACCCCCGGAGCCGCCGTATTGAAGATGCTCTTTCGCAGCTAGTCGACTCCCTTCTCCCTCCCAGTCCTCACATCCTAGATGACGATACCGGCTCAGAATCGTATCGCGACGGTCACGCACGCGCAGAAGCGGCAGAGAGAGATGAGCTCCGACACCAGCTTGCCCTGGAGAACGCTTGGCGCATCATCAGGAATTACGGCAGTGGCAACAAGAGTCAGCCTGGATCAAGCTCTGAGGTCTCCGTTGAGGTTATCAACAATGCACCAGATCTCATCAAGCGCAGATTATTGAAAGTGAACACAACGCCAGACAAAGCTGTGCGGTTCTCAAACCTGTACTCGCGACTTCTTACTCAGCCCGTCTTAAGCCAGAAATGGGCTATACTATATTTACTCTACCGCATTGGAGCACGCAGCGGGGATGCAGACCAAAGGGACGGAAACCTGCTACGTGAGGGAGCTCGTAGCCCGCTACTTGACGAACGCCAGTTGGATTACATGTCGATGAAGGATAAATTCGGGGCAAGAAGAACAAAGGCGCCAGAGAGCATAAATCCGGGATCTTCAGCCTCTGCAATTGGAAGAGAAGCACCCCCTATTGAGCTAAGCCAATCCCAACGAGAATGGAGGGATCCGAAAGCGTCCAAGCAACCAGAGCGGAAACGTAAAATTGAGGATGACCCAAAGCCGTCTGGCTCAACCGTGAGGAACATCGATGATTTCATTCCAGCCGAGCAACCAAGCCAGGAATCAGAGCCTCCCATTCAAGATATTATCGTGGTCAAACCATCAGAGCCAGAAATCCTTCGTGATCTTCCATTCTTCCTACAGGGGCTATCGACAACAAATTTTGAGTTTTCGGCACAATCCGTTCTAAAACTCCCAAGAACTCTACCTACACCTATAGTTTCTCTTCTACACACACTTGCGGAGCCATGTTTATTGTATCGAGGATTGTCCAATTTTGTGAAACAGGCTGAAGGTGGTTTGATTGAGCAGAGCTTAAGAGCAGCTGTAGGTAGCGAGCTGCGGTCTTATCTTGGCTTGGTAGCAAGTTTAGAAGGGGAAATAAGGAGAGCTCTCACTGCGGTTTCCCAGGATTCGTCCGATCAGAAAACAGTTATGGGGGCTGGAGTGACTTTAAAAAGATGCGTTGTATGGGTGAAAGATGCCACCCTCGCTCTACGGTTAATGAGTTTGATGGTAGAGGAAGCTCGGAAGAAAAGAGGAGGGCAGCTGATATCCATGATTCACGAATTTTCAACTTCCCACGGTGACCCTTTTGTTGGTGCTTATGCTGAGAGGCTTTTGACTCATGTGACGAGGCCATTTTACAATATGCTTCGGCAATGGATATACGATGGTGAACTATCGGATCCCTACAACGAATTTTTTGTCGTGGAACCAGAAACTCGACCGGACATTGACCCACGAAGAGCGGCAACTAGTGTTTGGGACGAGAAATATAAATTGGATAGTGACATGGTTCCTACCATCATGACACATGATTTCGCAAAAAAGGTGTTCTTGATCGGAAAATCACTCAATTTCATTAGGTATGGCTGTGGGGATTCAGCGTGGGTCGTTGCATACTCTCGTGAATCGTCAAAGACACTGCACTATGGCGACAATGCTACCCTTGAAACCTATATTGATGAAGCATATAAAACCACAATGGCTCGTCTTATTTTCCTTATGGACACTAAGTTTAAACTGTTTGATCATCTCAAAGCTCTGAAAAAATACCTGCTGCTTGGTCAGGGAGACTTCATCGCACTGCTTATGGAAAGTCTAGCCTCAAATCTTGATCGACCTGCAAACTCCCAATACCGTCATACCTTGACTGCCCAGCTCGAGCATGCTATACGGTCTTCTAACGCTCAGCACGATTCCCCTGAAGTATTGAGGCGCCTAGATGCACGCATGCTCGAACTTAGTCACGGCGAAATTGGCTGGGATTGCTTCACGCTGGAATATAAGATTGATGCTCCAGTAGATGTCATCATTACCCCTTGGGCCTCAACACAATACCTCAAAGTGTTCAATTTCCTCTGGAGAGTGAAAAGAGTTGAATTTGCACTGGGAAGTACATGGCGACGCTGCATGACTGGTGCAAGAGGAATATTAGGTGGTGTGGACGATAAACTTGGAGCAGACTGGAAAAAAGCCCGTTGTGTTATCGCTGAGATGATACATTTTGTTTGTCAACTTCAATATTATATTTTATTTGAAGTCATTGAAGCCAGCTGGGACCAGTTACAACTCGCTATCTCCAAACCGGGATGCACGTTGGATGACCTTATCGAGGCGCATACCAGATACCTTAATTCCATTACCCACAAAGGCCTGCTAGGCTCTTCATCATCCTCATTCTCGCGTTCCTCTGGAAGTAAAGAGGATTCTTTTCTCTCTCAACTTCATCAAATACTCAAAGTGATGCTTGCCTACAAGGACGCAGTGGACGGTTTATACTCCTTCTCCGTCGCAGAATTCACCCGCCGGCAAGAGCTAAACGCAAAAATTGAACTCCGCACAGCACAAGGCCGATGGGGCGTTACTGATAAGGACGCGCAGGAACCGCCTACGCGCCCAAGCAGATCTGGTTCAACTCGGAGAGTAGACTCCCCTGCTTTTGGGGCTGTTGAGGTGCCACCAAACCAGAAAAGATGGTGGACTGCGGACCCAAATACGCCGGGGACACCTCTTCCCAGTGGTGATGCACTTCTAGGTGGTGAAGACCACCTACTGCCCTCTCTCCGCGAGCGTTTACGTGAACTGTCCTCAGATTTCCGCGTTCGCCTTGTCACCCTGCTCGGCGACCTCGCATACCAACCTGATGTCGACATGCGTTTCCTAGGGGTAGTGATGAACTTTAATGATGTATATCAAGTTACCAGGAGAAGGCGTGGAGTTTCCTCACGGGAAAAGAGGAAAGGCACCAGTAACCCTAGTGGAGAGTCAACAGCGGACAGGGATCAGGAGAAAGCTGCTGGCGTTTCATGACGACGAGTCCCACGTTCCCGAATGACTGATTCTCACAAATGAGAAGTTAACGATGTCTAATTGTGTTTCTTGCTCAACCATTTTCACCCTGTAGGTTTTGCTTCAAATATGTGTAACGAATTGTTTGTATTTGATATCGGAGAATAGAGAGCAAAGAATAAGAGGCTACCGTCATGTGCTGAGTCTAAATCTAGAAGAAACACTAGTTTCAAGCATACTCTTGCGCTATTAAGTAAGATCAAGAGGATACACAAATGTCAAATAATGCCAGGGCCTGAATATGTATCAATCAATCCGAGTCGGAATCCGAGTCTGGGTCTGAGTCAGATCCGGATGATGATGTGGTATCAGAAGCTTCTGTAAAAACTGGTTAGCATATCCGCTCGAAAGAGAATGCTGATCACCCAAACAGGAAACGGGTAGATAACTCACCAGAAGTGGATTCAGAATCGGAAGAGTCCAGTTTGTGTTTTGCAGTAACACTCTCCTGGCTCTCCCGCTTTAGTGTCGCGCCTTTTTGAACCGAACGAGAGCCGGATATATCGCTGCTATCGGTGTCCTCGCTGTCACTGCTGCTATCGCTAGTACTGTCGCTTCCACTATCACTAGTACTCTCACTGTCACTGCCACTATCACTGGTACTCTCACTATCACTGCTGCTGTCGCTGCTACTGCTTGAATCGGAGACGACAGCCGTCCTGGTTTTCCGCGTAACTTTCTTCGGTGGAGGCGGCTTTGGAAGACTATCACGGAAGAGATACAGAATCAACTCAGCTCGTCTTCTTGTTTTTAGCCTTTTATGCCAGGACGAGCTTAGGTCCGAAGGTATATCATCGTCTTCTTGGCTCTTATCTTGATGTTCCAATCGAGTCCTAAATTCATCAACTGCGTCATCGTATATGGATCTTTGGGTCTCAACATCTGCCGTCGTCGGATCACTTGTGCTCTTGTCATCATTTGATATGGCTTCTTTGGCGGCTTCGACGATACGCTTTTTGGCTGCCTCTCCTTTTAAGCCGGAGAGGTAAGCTCTCAGCGCAGAGTCGTAGCTAGGCGGTATCCGGTCTATTGAGAAG